ACACATATATACATATATACACATATATATACCTATATATATACACACATATATACATATATACACATATATATATATCTCTCTCTATATATATTTTCTGTATCTGTACCTTCAAATAAAACACGTGCCCAGCTCTTCCTGGCCAAGCAGCCACACACCAAACCATGAACTTAGATGTAAAAATATTCATATTCATGTTCACATTTGAACCACAGAAGGAAAATACAAGAGCAAACCCATCCCACAAAAAATCAGGCTGCAGGAATAATCCTGAGGAACACTTACCCCTTCTGCATATTGCAAAAATCTCCTGTTGGTTTCTTTTTTCCCAAAATCCTCCAAGAATTTCTGCCTGTAAGCCAGGACTGTGTCAACATGTGTCTTGTGCTTCACTGCAAGGTCCAGGGCCCTGGGAGGAAGCAGAAATGGGGTTTGCCAGGCTGGAGAAATGCTCTGGCACAACTACAGGGTTGGAAAAGGACACCCTGGGGGCTGCAGGCACAGCTCCCTGATCCCAGTGCCAAGAAATTCCACATTAGTGTCACTCACAGGAGGCTAAAATTGGCTACTTTATGCAAAATATCCCACAATTATTTCCGTTGACAACCTCACCACGTCACTCACTGGACAACAGGAGGTTTTTTATTTCAAGGAAATACAGAATATTTTAGAGTTTAGCCCTCTCAGTATAAAAAAGGGTAAAAATAATGATGTTTGGTAGCTTTTTTACAGTCAGGAATAGCTTCTGAACATAAATTATGGTATGTATCCTATAGCATTTACAACTATTGTATAGGTGGGAAAGATTAGTTCACAGGATTAATGTAATTCATTACTCACATCTGTTTTCTTCTCAGAAAGGAACACTTCTGTTTGATATACAGAGTTTTTAGATGATATATAAATAACAGAATATCCTTATAGTGATACCCAGCCTACACCTCCCCTGACACAGCTTCAAATTAGGCAACAAAATAAAAACCCACAGATATGTGGGGGAAAAAACAACCTTATGCCCCCAGTGATGTGAATATAGCAGAGATATCAGGAGTAAATGGCCTCAGAAGATTCTGTCAGAAAACGTGGGTTTTTGTTTAAAGGAGAAATTCCTGCTTTGTTTTCTCAGGCCTAATTCATATTTTATCCACCTACACAGTGCTGGGAGCCTGAACAGCCACAGGTCTATTTTTAGCAACAAGACATTTCAACACAGCCCTAATTCTTGAAGGGTCACTTCTAGTTTGGGGCATCACTGAGGACTTTTCTGTGTTAGCAGTGATGAAACAGCAAAATGTTATTTAAAAATCCTTCCAAGCATGTTTTGGACTTTCATCACAGAGCATCTGTGTTTTCTAAATATGGCACAAGAAGGTTAAATATGTTCCTTTCTTTGGTTGTTGTCAGGATATGATTTCCTTCAATCTTTTCACAGATCTGGGTGATTCAAGGCAGAAAATCAGTCAGCTAAGGATTAGTCAGCAAGAAAACAACTGGTGTAAATAATCAGGGGAACTGCTCAGAAACATGTTTTGCCTGCAGAAATCCCACCTGTCCCAGTTGTAGAGATTGATGTTGACTTGAATAGCTTGATAAATCAGGCCTGACTGTAGCAGCAGAGTTTCAGCCTCCTGGGTGTTCCCACTGAAGAGCAGCATATGAGCCATCCTTGACTCCTTGGATGGCAGCTCCTTGATGGAATTGATGTACTGCACTTTGTCAATCTGCCAAGGAGAAGCACAGCAGCTTAATAAGGGAAATTCATTAATAAAATGAGCTTTGCAGAGGTTTAACAGGGAGTTTAAGGCCATTTTCTTACCTCCCCAATGGCTGCATAGGAGATTTCAGCCGTGGCCATGTCTTTGTTGGCCACTGCCATGGCAGCCAAACACGCCCACAGGGTCTGGTCCTGAAATTAAAACCAAAAACCAGCTTTTCCGACTTCAAATATTTATTGTCATGCTAAAAATTGCTTCCCAAAGGAAGCACACAAGTCCTGAAACTACACTTTTCTCATTATGCACTATATCTTTCTCATATATGGCACCGTGGTCTGAGCTTCTCATTACAAAATCACTGCTTAATTACTTCTCTGAACTAGGCATTAGAAAAATTTATGGGTAATAATAATAATATTGCACCTTTTTTTTTTTAAATTTTCATTACTTCTGTTGCTTGGTTGTTTCTGTCTGTTTGGGGTTTTCTTTAACACAATCTTAAGGAAACCCCACGGACTCAGAATAACATTTAGGAGGATCCTAAATGATATTATGACAAAGACATACTGCTCAAACATATTTCTATATTAAATATGTTTTCTATATGTTTTCTAATATAGTGAGGCTACCACAGCTGAAAGCTCGAGTTCAGACAGGAAAAACATCATTTTTGACCTGTTAGTCCACGTGGAATTAAGTGGGTTTTAGTATTTTTGCTGAATATGTTCAATAACAAATTTGGAAACAAATTTGGACTGTGAAGAGGTTTAAATCAGAATAAACAGCTGCACTGAGTATGATCTAAATGTGTTTCTCTGTCTCCTAACTGACCTTTTCCATAACTCAAGATAAACCTTCCTGCAGGCAGCCCATAATTTGGGAGAATTCAGATTATTCAGAGAATCAAGAGCTCATAAAAATCTTTGTCATGTTTTCTTCTCACCACCCTATTATTTATAAAATTAGGTGATAATATGGAAAGTTCAGATTGAAATTATCCAGAGGAGCTTTGTAGGAGTTGTTCCCTGATGGGTCTTGCTGTTCTTTTTTCCCCCTCAGAAATATCCCTCCATCTTCTTATTCCTGATTGGAAATATTTTGAACTGTCTACCTGGGTTGCCAAAATCAAAATAACCTGATTTGGATGCTTAAATCAGATGATGAGAAGAACTCTTCACGCTGAAAATAAAGACTTTATTACAATTCTACAACCCAATTTACATGGATGTGTATTGATTTTATAAAGCAGTTACAGGAATATCTGAAATACACATTTAAGGTCACAATGAAAATTCTTTTCTAGGAGTAAAGGAGATAAAGGAACTAGAGTTTGGAGGGATTTGGTTTTGTTTTAAAGACTACCAGACTCACCTCATCTGTTGCTGTTGCCTAAATATATACAAAAGCAAGCAATGGAAAAGAAAAAAACAAAAACAAGTGAAAGAAAATCTAAAAAATAAGAAATAATTGTGGAGATGAAGGTCACTCTTAATTGGTTTTATTAAAGCCCAGTCCTGAAAAGTTAAGCTCAGAACTAAGTTCTGTGAGTACCTGTGTTCAACCCAGTTGGGGTGACTAAAAATAAGAATTGTTTATAATGAAAATGTGAAATTAGGTAGATTAGGTAATGAAATTATTATTATGAGAGCAGATTATGAAAATCACGGAATTTTCCATTCCAGAAGAATTGGAACGAGATGCAACATCTGATCTGCAGCTGTTAAAGAAATACCAAAGAACTGTTAAAGAAATACTTAAAACCATAAATATTGCATGGAATATGGCATCTGGATATTCCCAAAAATCAGCTTTTACCTTGACAAAGCGACAGAGCCTGACAGCATCTTCCCACTGGGAAGCCCTGACGTAGTCATGGAGAATCCCGGGATAAGGGGAAATGTTCAGGTGAACCAGGGAACCATCTGCTCTCCTAATTGTTATCTGATTCCCTACAAAACTCACAATCTGGGGGTTTTTGCTGAATTCACTGTGGAGAGAAAGGAAAGGGAAGTTAATCTTCACTTCTTTCTACAGAAACATAAATTATCGTTGACTTCGCATCTTTCTGTTTTTAATTTCCAACAGGCAATTTAAACAAATCTTCTTTTTTGTTTGGTTTTTTCCCAAGCAACTAAGGCAAGATTTCAGGAGACAGAATTAAAATCCTGCTTTTGCATCAAGATACCTCTCTACTTTCAAACTGCACATCATCATTTCAACTCCAAACTTTATGATTTAATTAGAAAACCCACTTTTTTCCCCTCATTTCCTAATCCAAAAACGGCAACGTGAAGAGAGTTGGAAGAGTTGCAACCCTTGGTTCTACTTCACCTGAACACAGTTTGGTAAAGGGTGAGTAAATTAGTTAAAATATACCCTTTTTTCATCAAAATATGATGTATTTACCTTCCATCTTTTTCATAGAGGGTTTTTGGGAGAAGGTCTTTGTCCACATAGACTGTGTTGGGGTAGTACCAGACTGTGAAACGGGTGTCCTGGATCCCACAAAGGATGTTGGAAGTGTCATTCCAAGCCAAAGTTTGAACCATTGTCCCTTAATTTCAAGATAAAAATATGCATTTCCATGAGAAACTTCAAAATGAAGTTACCCTTCTCAAACTGGAGTAAACAGGTAATTATTCATCATTATTAGTTCATTTTAGTAGGGTTGGTTTTAACCTCCTGGTTTGTATCATCTTAACAGGTTTTACATGGAATTTATATAAAAATTATCAGAATTCAGATAAAATGTACCAAAATAGTTTCTACCTCTCTCTTATGAAAGCCAAAGGACTATTTCTCATTTCTTTTCAAGTTGAATTTCACTGTTAATTAAAAAGCCAAATGTTGTCTCTTGTACTAGAGAAAACTCTGTTTCCCTCCCAGCAAGTTCCTAAACATGAATTTGAATTTTTTCTTACCTATTTTGACAATCTTCTGCTCTTTCCCAAACCTTTTCACTGAAGTGATGAAAAGATCTCTGTTCTTATCAATAAAAGCGATTTTTCTCTCACTTGTGAGTCCTTTCTGGTCCAAAGCAATCTCCACAATTTCGGTCTGAAAAGGCAAAAAAAGAGAATTTCTGAGTTTTATTTTATTTATTTATTTTATTCTTGTCCCAGAAAGCAAATGACACTCAACCAAATGGATGTTTTCCTCAAAACAAGGCACAAAACTCTGGATAAAGTGGGTTGTGGAAGACACTTAGTGTATGAATTCTCTGTTGAATGAAGAATTTCATAGCAGGGGGTTGGATTTAGATGATTTTTAAAGTCCCTTCCAACCAAACCATCCCATGATTCTGTGATTTTATAAACTGAATTTCATGAAGATTAAAACAGAGCTGCAACCCTGGTTTGTTATGCACCAGAAGGGTGAATATAAGAGTCAGTTAGAGCTGAAAAACTCCTTCAGATTAAGGTTTTTAAACCTTTAATAGTCCAGTTATTGAGGAAATCCATTATTGATTCTTAATTTCTAAGTATAATAAAAACCAGACACTATATCCTTCACTTCACCTTATGGGTCAGAGGTTTTCCATCACCCAGTGGCTTTCCAGATAAAGCTTCAAAGATGTAAATAACTAAAGAAAAAAAAATACAGTTTATTAGTTAAAAGCAACAGAAATGACACCAAATTCTGAGGCAAGTTAATAAATAAATTCATGTTCTCCATATCAGATTTACTCAATCTTAACCCACGATTTTGATCAATATGAATGTTTAGGAAGTGGTACCATTGACTGATTGATTAAATTAAGCCCAAAGATTTAATGTGAGATATATTAAAAGATGTCCTTAGAACTGTTGGGGAAAACATTCCTCAGAAACATTGGTTTTTTTGTTAATAATCTGCTTTATTTGGAATCCCTGATGAATATTTTCTTCCAGGACAGTTCAAGCTTCTGCTCACGATGCCACAGTTATGAGATTAATTAATATTACATATTAATTACTGGCTTCCTCAAAAAATACTTTGTTTATGCAGTTATTTTGGATTTTTCTTGAAGTTTGAATTTTCCTTGATGCTTGAATTTTATATATATATATACATATATATATATATATAATATATGATATATATAATTCTTGCACCTTTACCACTTGTTCCACTCTCTCTCTGCCTCCCCTTTAATAAAAAAACCCTCCAAAAAACCCCCACCTACATCAACTGGTTTTTTTTGGGGTCTCCAGTGAAAACTCCAATTTGCAACTTGCCTAAAAATGAAGTTTCTTTCTCTTTCTTTCCATCTCTCTCTATACAACCCCAAATCTGTGTGTATGAAACTCTTTATAAATACATATATTTATATATATTTCTATGTAATAAATAAATAAATTACAAATATACATAATCTGTGAACACACAAACAAATTAGATGCAGGGAGAGCACTCAAAGCAGCATTTTAAGGAAGGGCTGTAACTAAAAGCACATGATTTTACAGGCAGAATTCAAAAATAAAAAAAAAAGGCCAAACTGCCAGAGCAGGTGTTCAAACCCATCAGTTGGTTGTGCAGAGGAGGCACAAAAAAAAAAAAGGTTGAAGGTACCAAAGAAAACTTGTTGTTCCTGAGAAGTGCTTTTTTATCTCACTTTTAGGCTTGAAATTTGTAGATCTACCCAAGCAAGTCGATTTTACAGCCCCCAGAGCAGCTGGAGGAAGTGAGATTAGAGGAGTTTGTAAAAAACCCACTGTACTAATTCACAAGTAAAATGGGTTCAATTCTCATTAATCTACAATTGAGGGATTTCAGAAATAAGTTTGGGGTCGGTTTGGTTTTTTTTTTTCCTACCTGAAAAAACTCCACGTTGTTTTTCAATCATTTAAACCCTCAAATGTATCTTTTCTACAGGCAGAAATTAAAAATATTAATAAAGGTCGTTGTCTCCCTTTGACCACCCAGAGAAAGAAAATTGTGTGTATTTTAACAGATGTGGTTTATTATCAGGGAATATCACTGAGCTTTTAGTGTCAAAAATACAACATTTAAGAGCAGAAAAACCTTCAAGGACACAGCACTGAGACAGAACATCACATTTTCAGCTGTATATAAAACTCATATATAAATATATATATATATATATAAAGATACAAATCTATAAAAGAGATAAATCTACAAAGATACAAATGTAAGATAAAGCCATGAAGATACAAATCTATCAAAACTGCAGCAAAGAACATCTGAGAACTAAAATTAATCCCAGCTAAAGTACTGGAAGTTTTTTTTAAGAGCAGCAGGAAAGCACAAAAAGTTGCTGAGGTTTTAGAAAAACCCCATGTGAGGGATTTAAAACCTATTTTTCTATTATTTTCTGCTAATATTCCATGGTTCTGACCCATTACTCAACTGGAATTTCAGTGAGATATATATATATAATTAACTTTTAAAATCAATTTTAAGCAAGACCCTTAATGTCAATTAATTTTATAGTGAATATATGAATTTAAATTTATTTTTATAGTGAATATATTAATTTTCTACAATAAATATACGAATTTTTTTTTAATAAATCCCAGAGAACTTACCTTTCTCATCAGCTTTGTCCTTTACTGCCAGGGTGTCATTGCTCAGAGACACAGTCTGGGCATTCAAAATGTCTGTTCTCATGCCTGGATATTTTGGAGAGGAAATTAATCTGCCTTCATATGAATATAAATAAAGTCCTCCACCATCTACAAGAAGAAAATGCCTACAAAAAACCAAAAAAAAAACCAGCAAAAAAAATTAAACACTAAATAATGCAGAAAAACATGAAGAAATTTTCACAATATGAAGGTAATTGTTTAACTGTTTCTAGTTCAACTCCATTATTTCTAAGCCTGTGGGTATTCTGGAAGTTTTGTATGGAAGAGTTAATTTTTAATGTGAATGTTATCTCTTGCCAGGAGAAATATTTATTATCTGAAATATTTGTGATTTTTTCATCAGTTTTCCATGTCTAATTATATGAGAAACACGTTAGAAATCTGTGTTTTCTGTTTGTAATATTTCAATTTGTGCTTATGTTCTATTTTATATTTATTTATATATATTATATTGATATTTATTTATATTATAACATTTAATAGTTATATCTAATGGTTATATTATGTTCACATTTAATAAAGAGCATTACAAGAAGTCCCAAAAGGTACCTTTCTGCTTGTAAAATCAAACTCACTGTTCCCTCCTTCAGGTCAAAGATCAGTGGGGTGTTCCAGTTCTTTGTGCTGAAAAAGAAAGAAAAAAATCAGCATTAAACCCACTAATCTTCATGTTGCAAACACAAAGTTGGATTCACTCAGCAAACCATACATATTTTAATGCTCTGACACTCTTAAAAGGGGAGGTTTTCAAAATTAAAACAGCATTTAGGAAGCCAAGTAACATGGATAAACACATGATATAGGTATTTTTGCATCCCTTCACACCAGCAGCAGCTGAGCCAGGAGTCTCAGCACACAGCAAAATCATATTTAGATGAAATAATCGTATTTTTTAAATATTTCTGAGCTGTTTTCCAGTGATGAGGAGGTTGGACAAAGCCCATTTTCTTGTGTGTCCCACCACAGGCTGTATGTCCAGCATTAGTCACCTCACTGAGATACTGAATATTTCAATTAATTCCAAAGAAATAATTACAATTAATTATTGTCCTTCCAATGCTGTTGTTGTTTTACAACTGTTGGAGAAACCTGAGGAAGGTGGATTTGTATTTACTCACGAAAACACATAACACTGAAGAGAAGTTGAAACAACCAAATATCCATAATCCAAGGAGGCTTTAACGACCCTGTCCCGGAATTCCAAGGAATCCTCGGCATCATTAACGACATTGTGCACCTACAAGGGAAAATTGAGTTAAATAAAACAACAACAGATGAAATGAAAACTAATTAGTGAAATATCATCTTTTTTTCTTCTTGAGAAAATCATCCAGATGTTGGAAAATTCTCATTTTAAGACTCGGCTGCTGATTGTTGGAACATCTGAAATATAACATTTCAGTGATCCCATCACAACAATCCAGGATTTGGAGAAAGGTGTGTTTTCTTGAAGAGCTGGAGCACAAATTTTAATGCTTCTACAGGAAATTCAGATGCCTCCATGAGCAGGTTGTGCCTTTGCCATCTCACTAAAAATCTGCTCCAATTACAACGTTTGCCTCTAATCAACACAGATCTTTGAGCTCAAAGTGTTCAGGCAGTTAAAAATCTAAGGTGGCACCTTACACAAAAAAATGTCCTGTTTGTTTGCGGGGTTTTTTGGGGGAGGTTTTGCTGTTGGGGTTTTTTTAGATGGCACCATTCTGAGGGTGGCAACTTCCTTTTGATTCTCCCCATTACACAACCAATTGCAAAACAAGGACTGAACTCAATTATTTCTAAAACCCTGGAAACCATTTCCAAAGACATATTAATTGCTATGGCCAGAATTAATGTAGCACTCAGGAAAAAAAATGCATCCACAACTTTTTTTGCAGGCAAAATTTTCCTCCATGAACATATATAGGAATAAAATCCCTCTAAAAATGCTAAAACGAAAATTAGTCCTGACTCAGGGTTGGTTTTACTTCCTCAATGTTTGCATATTCAAATTCTCTGGAGATCCTTCCCAGAGTCCATCTGTTACGAGTCGATGTCTGGGAATGAAATTTAAAAAAAATGGGAATTTTTACCTGCTAATTTGTCCTCTGTGTTCCCAGACACTGACTCATCACATCCCACCCACTGCACCCAACTCACCCAGTTCTTCCAACTTTTTCCCAATTACAGATCCAACATGAAAAGAGTCAAGAGCAAAAAAGGCATTTTCAAGGGCCTAATTAGGACTTTAGGAACTCGACTTTGATATTGAAAATACAGGCCTGGTGTCCAACACCCCAAATGTGTCATTTGGAAACTCTGGAAGAATGGAAATCTTGTCTTATCCCAGCGCTCAGGGAGCAAAGCTGAGTCAGTGTCTGGGAACACAGGGGACAAATTAGGTTTAAAACTCTCATTTTGCATTCAAATAAAAGGCTGCAGAGCTCCAAACTGTAATTTTACCTTCATGGTTCTCCTCTTAACTAATGTGATCTCGAAGTTCTTCCACTCCCAACGTTGTTCCACGATGTGGGCAAAGATGACGTGGCCGTTCCCACAGGCTCCAGCCAGCTGGGTGCCATCGATGGACCAGGAAATGTTAAAGATGCTGCCAGTGTTGGGCTTCTCCAGGGCATAAGACCACTGTAAAAAAAAAAGATAAAAAGGGATTAAAAATATACTAGTTTTTTTTTTAGAAATGATTTCTTGTCATCAACGGATTTGCAGGGTCGGAATTTTTTAAGCGGCGTCAATAAATGAAATTTTCCTCACGAAGAGATTTGATGTCTTAAGTCAGACTGTTGAAAATCAGGGATGTAAAAAAGCAAAACCATCAAGTAAAGCAAAGTTAAAATGTCACAATGCCTGAAGTACATGAGGTACCAGTTTTCTACTCATAATATACTTAAAGTGTACTTTAATTTATATTTCTAAGCAATCACTACATAAAATTAAGTCAACTTACTTAGAATTCTATTTACTCTCTGTTGTTATTGAAGGGAAAGATGCATCAAAAATTTAAGAACTTTATTCTTAATTCCCCCATTTTATGCACAGGACTCCTCTGAAGTTTAGAGCCTTATATTAACAAATCCTTGTCAAAAAGTAGGATGTTTTCAGACCAAGACCCTTGTTTTCTATTTCCTGCAACTCAGAAATACAGATCACAAAAATCACCTCTAATCTCTGAATGACAAAAAACGAAATAACCTTTTTATGGAATTTTAGGAAGACTTTAAACCAGGTTTTAGAACAAGAAGCAAATCTCAACTGCTGCCTCTTCATAACTCTGTAATGGAATATTTAAAAAAAAATAGAGTAATTGGAGAATTTTTGAATATTTGACTGTATTTGAAATCTTAAGAAGCAAATCAGTAAAAAGAACCACGTGATTGAATTTGAATTGTAAGTAGATATTGGATTGACTTTTGGATACATGAAATTATACCAAAGGGGACACACTTGGAAGAAAATCCTCACCTACTGTTTGTAATACATTTTATATTCTGATTTATTCTGCTGTATAAAATCAGCAACCTCCAAGAATCAAAACCTTCACCCAAAGCCTCTGTATGATTTAGAAGGAGTGAAATCACCCCAAATTACATTAAAATAAAAGAGTTGGGACTTCAAAGTTGACTCAGAAGGAAACAAAACGGGCTGCAATCCAAAGGCTGAGCTGTGCTAATGCTTTGTGGAATATTGTGTGGGAGTTGAGGCTCTCTCCCACATGGGGTGAGGGAAAGGTGATGTCAGCTCCGACTGGAATTCCAGCTCCAAACCCCCGGGTTTAAGGCTCTGTGTTCCCTGTTTCCTGGCTGAGAGACAGCCCAGCCCATCCATGGGGATGGATCTGGGGAGAAGTGGGGATTTTTGGAGAACTGGCTGACAAACACCCCAGCCC